GTCAACCCAGCCTGAAAAGGATACTAGGAAATGTTGTGGAAAGTAAAGACGGCCGGTAAGACGTTGATATCATCTATGAGTACTCTTCTTTTCTTTTGTCAAAATCTGCTTGTGCCGCTAGGCGTCGCAGTCTATCAGATGATCGGCAACCGAGCCAGGGCGCGCTCAGTCGCTTCATATGCCGTGATGTTATGAAGTCTCAAGTTGTCCGTGACTCCTTCAATCCATATTCTTCTTGGTCTTCCCCTGCCTCTTGGTGTTTCGATTTTCATGTCGTATGCTCTTGATACTGGCATCGTTGGTTCCATTCTCATTAGGTGACCAAACCATTTCATTCTTTGTTTCTCAATAAATTTAACGATGGGTATGGTTCCAATAGTTCTTGTGATCACATCGTTTCTCACTCGATCTCTTCTGGTTTTATTTGCAGCCATTCTCAAACATCTCATTTCACAGGTGGTTAGTCTTCTCTCATGTTCTTTTGTTAATGTCCAAGTCTGACATTGATAACCTAATGTCGGTATAAAGATTGTATTTATAATCTGTCTTTTTTATCTCAGCTGGGACAGCAAGGTGTTTTAAAATTGGGGCAGGCTGGTATGCGACATTATTGGCTTGTTGGATTCTTGCTTCGATCTCTCTGTCTATTTTACCATTGAATGTAAAGATACTTCCCAAGTATTTAAATTCTTGCACTTGTTTTAGGCTGTGATCTAGAATCTTTATGTCGATGGTCTGTTGCTCTCTACTTATGCTCATGACCTCTGTCTTTTCAGTATTGATCTTCATATGATGCTTGAGGCAACTGTCGTGTAGTAGGTTTATGTGGTCTTTTTTTTTACTATCACTGTGAAATATGCATTGATCGTCAGCAAAGAGCAGCTCATTGAAGTCCTCTTGTTTATCGACATCTGTTGGTGTTATGTCTATTTTATTATTATTGTCCATAAATATTATGAAAAGTAAAGGTGATAATACACAACCTTGTCTTACTCCTGATGTTACTGGGAACCAGTCTGTGATGCCAGCTCTTGTTCTAATGGCGCTTTCACTTTGTCTATAAATAGCCCTAACACAATCTAAAATGGTTCCATTTATACCGTAGTTTTCAAGAACTTTCCATAATAAATTTCTGTTTACTCTATCGAAAGCTTTTTCTTGATCTATGAAAGCGATGTTCATTTGATGTCTGTGTTCTATTGTCTTTTCGCTTACTTGTCTTAAAGCGAAAATAGCGTCAGTACACCTTCTTCCTTTCCTAAATCCGACCTGTTATGGGCTCAGGATCGGTTCTACAACGGATCTAATTCGTTGTTCCAGAATTTTGGCAAACATTTTTCCTACGTGGCTTAGAAGGGAGATGCCTCTGTAATTGTTAAAATCTTGCTTATTGCCTTTTCTTTTCCAAATTGGGACTATAAGGGCTCTTTACCAGTCTATTGGTACAGTTCTTTCATTCCAGGCTTTCCTAAATATGTGGAGTAGCCAGGTGACTCCAATTTCTCCACAAGCCTGTATTGCTGATATTCCATCTACACCTGATGCCTTATTTTTGGGACTGCATCTGATTGCTTCTCTGACTTCTTGTTCGATTATTGTAGGCTGTTCCTCGTTTGTACATCTGGGTGTGAATGGTACTGTTTCCTTATTTCCTGTTACATTCAGAAGAGTCTGAAAATATTCTTTCCACCTTTCTCTGATCTTGCCCTTGAGTACTCACCGGTCTATAATAATATCTGACTGACACCAGACGTCTGATTAACCAATTGACTAAAAATGCTCCTTCACTTTCTTCAATATCATCATTTAGCACAGTGACTCTTAACCTCCCTAATGCGTAGACCCTATAACACAGTTGCCTCATGTTGAGGTGACCCATAAACAACCGCTGATGTAGCAGGTCCTTTGCAGAAGGTCGGAGGAGGAGAAGCTGAGGAAAAAAAAAACGTTGGATGAGATGAAGAAGATGAAAAAGTCGAAGTAAATCAAGAAAAGAAGAAGTCATGGAAGATGATAATAATTATGATGATGATGAAGAGGGTGATGTTGAGGATGTCGACGACGATGCTGATGACTTCAGTTGCCAATACCATATATTAATAATGAAATGTTACATTTTGTCGGCTCTGTGGCTAAGTCGATGCGAACGCTTTGTAATGCCGGGATGCTGGGTTCGATCCCAGCTGCGGGCCATGCGCCTTGCATTGGTTTCGATAGTGGTATCAAAAAAGCCGACCGTCCAGGAAGCAATGGCAAACTACTGGAAGTAATTTGCCTAGAAAAACCACACGACAGCCAGGCGCTGTTGGGGTTGGTTCTGCAACGTCCTGTAAAGGATACGCAACTAACCAGTATATGTTACATTTTTTTACCAAAACCTTTACAAGGGGACATAATTAGACAAATTGCTAATAGTTCGAAAATGTTGTTTCCCTTCTTCCTCATTCTCTTCTTCTTCTTCTTCTTCTTCTTCTTCTTCTTCTTCTTCTTCTTCTTCTTCTTCTTCTTCTTCTTCTTCTTCTTCTTCTTCTTCTTCTTCTTCTTCTTCTTTTATTTACTCATGGAATGTCTCGCGACGTCAGGGCAGGAAGAGATCTCTGGAACAGGCCCTTCTGTTCGCTTCGTGTAAAGTAATTTTTAGTGTCTCTGATACTTCTGCTGTCCTTCTTCTGCATGGTGAACCTCTGGTTCTGTTACCACCGTACCTGTGTAACATTGCTAGCTGTGGTGCCTTGTCTGATGCCAATCTTGTTACATGGCCAAACCATTTAGTTTTTTGTCTACCTATAAAGTTCAGTACTGGTTCTGTGTCGACTGCCGTCATGACGTCATCGTTCCCAAGTCCTTGTTACACTTACCATAGCACGTACACATGATAAATGTTGCCCGAAAACCACAAAAAGTTTTTTTTTCAGGCCACCAGGGGGAAAGAGTACTAGTTTTTGATAATTATTAAATTGTTGAGGGCATTCGTTAAGCTTTTAGCCACTGAGCCGCAACGTTAGGCGTATAAAACGCAATAATTGAAGAGAAAATACTGTAGGTGTCATGAAAGACGTGGCGAGGTCGACAAGCACGACCTTGGACATAGGCAATAAAGGATACACTAGATAATGGTGATGGCTATAGTGGTTCCAGCTTCATAGCAAACGGGTCACCTCACAGCTGCTCCGTTCCTGTGCCAGTGAAAGCGAAATTATGAAGTTTTTTACAATATTTGGCAGCGCCCCTGTGAAGAGGTGGCGGCTTTCCGGGGAGCCGCGGCGCACAGTTTGGGAATCACTGCCATAGAGAATGTCTGTCAATGTCCTTTACACAGAGTCTGAAGCCTCGGCAAAGCTAATGGCGGACACATGCAATACATGCATAAGGCAGTCATTGTAAGTTCCAACAGCCTCTTCGACATACTGACCTAAACGTTCACAGGTATGAAAATTCCTCAATCGGGAAAATTCGCAAGTAACCCGATGACGTTTTGAGGTGCCGTATTGAAATAGACTTTCAGTATATGGTCTGCTTTTCGGTGAACATCGCACAGCAGAAACGGCGTTTGATGCATTCTTTCATAGGGCCCTTAGGCGCCTTTTGGAGAAGTGCAAGGAAGGGCGGAAACATAATCAAATAAGCTGGTCAGTTTCTTTACTGGTCGCATTATTTATGGACAGCTTGCAGAGCGCGCCTTTAGTAGCAGTTGTAGTAGTACATTGTACCCCACCAGGACATCACATAAGCGATACACACCCAGTGACACAAAGTGCCAGCATGTGGATGAGGATCACCCGTGGAGAAGTCCCAGAAACCGTGTTTAGCCATTGGGCCATATTTATTATGGCCGGGCTAAATTGCGGCCCCTGCTAGAGCCAGGGCGGCTCTTTAAAATAACAAATTTGAGGACGCCTCTAAAATTCTGAAAATTCATGGTATCAATTCAGGTAGCACTGCGTTGACCTAAAAGCTGAGGTAACTCGAGACTCCACAAAATCACAGCATTCTGGGCAACCGAGCGAGCCCTAGCTCGGATACCGATCACATGTCAACCGGTGACGCCTAGCGTTAAAACTTAAGGGGATAACACTGTGTATCTAATGATGTATCCTGTAAATCTGCACAGTTATTGCCCTTAGTTAGATTCACATCATATTATTCTCACCCGCATTGTTGCAAATATTTCATAAAATGATTTTGGTCGTATGTCGACCTAGCCAAAAAATGTTACCAGATAATGTCAAAGTACAAGCGGCCCATGTCATGTTGACCACATTAGCCGTCTAGTGCTCGTTGGTCTACAATAATGGGAATATAGTGTTGTATGCCAAATGTGAATATACGTCACCGAGTACACAGACACCACGCAGTGAACACTTCGCCTATTTTACTAACCAGTCATCCCCTTGAAGGATGCATTTTTTAGGTTTTTTTTTTTTTTTGAAGCCCTACACTGGCTCTTGCCAGAGGCTGCAGTATAGCCTGGTCATAAATGTGGTCCAATGGCCGAACGCGGTTTCCGGGACCTCTCCACGGGGAATCCTTATCCACGTGGTGGCACTTTGCTGATTGAAATAATGCCTCTAATGTTGGACTCAATTCTTTTTTTTAAAAATCTCCATCCTGAGTGTTTCCAGGGGTCATGATATAACCCAATCTATGCTGGTCAAAGAAAATGTATGGATTTCACTGGCATACTTGTGACTAACGACTGACTGGCAGACTGACTTTCAACTCCACCAGTACCGCACAGCGGTGATACAAAGTACCACCATTCGGATGAGAATACCTCAGGGGTGCAAGTTCCAGAATTCCCGTTCAACCATTAGGTTATATTTAGGTCCCCAACGACAGCCGGGTGGGGCTTTAAAAAAACAGAAACGTGCATCATATATTGGGGTGGTGTTGGCGAATAATATCATTTGCTAACGACTGCCTGACTGAAGTTCAACCCCACAAGGACCGCACAACGAGCCACCAACACGCGGTGACACAAAGTGCTACAATCGGACGAGGATCGTCCGAGCGCAAGTCCGCCGACGATAGGGCGCCTAACGATAAGGCCCCCGACGATAAGGCCCCCGACGATAAGGCCCTAGACGATAGGGCCCCAGACGATAGGGCCCCCGACGATAAGGCCCCAGACGATAGGGCCCCCGACGATAGGGCCCTAGACGATAAGGCCCCAGACGATAGGGCCCCAGACGATAAGGCCCCCGACGATAAGGCCCCCGACGATAAGGCCCCCGACGATAAGGCCCCCGACGATAAGGCCCCCGACGATAGGGCCCCTGACGATAATGCCCCCGACAAGAAGGCCCCAGACGATAGGGCCCCCGACGATAGGGCCCCAGACGATAAGGCCCCAGACGATAAGGCCCTAGACGATAAGGCCCCCGGCGATAGGGCCCCCGGCGATAGGGCCCCCGGCGATAAGGCCCCAGACGATTAGGCCCCAGACCATAAGGCCCCAGACGATAAGGCCCCCGGCGATAGGGCCACTGACCACAGCTGGCGTCGGGCTTTAAAAAAAACTGCATTACACATTGGGACATGCTTTAATTTATTTACTAACTCGAATTAACACCAACACTTCTCTACTTTTCCAATATCGTGTATATGTACATGTATGCAAGTGTGTTTGTTCTTAAATACGTCTCCACTCTTCTAAACGACTTTCTTACTTCATCTTACCCACACATTATGACATCACCTGAAATTATTCGTACTCCTTCTGAAAGGGTAGTACCGAAACGTCTACTTTAGAGCAGTATAAAATAATCTGCACACAATGCAGCAGTTACTGATGTTATCCAATCTGTTTTATTGTTGTTAACCAGAAACTTTAACAATTACAGTTTCTTCGGAAATATTATATTTTTTAACCCAAATGAAAGGTTGTAAGATATTTCGTGTCTACAATTTATGCATGTACCTGTTTGGGTTAGTTTTACTTCTGATTTGGATATTAATTCAATGATAACCAAAGTCAGCAGCGCATTCTGTAGACTTCGTACAAAAGTCTTAAACAGAGATGGAATCAGGCTGCAGAACGAAGCTCAAAGTATACAAAGCTGTCGTACTTTCTCTACTTCTCTATACATGTAAAACATGGACCGTTTACCAGGGCCATACTAAGAAGCTGAACCATTTCTACACTGTATGCCTCAGAAAGTTGTTGAATATAAAATAGCAAAACATGATCCCTGGTATTAAAGTCCTTGATAGAGCTGGACTATCCAGTATTTACTGGATTCTAAAACAATGACAACTTCGCTGGGCAAGTCGTATGGTCCGCATGCCTGACCGCCGACTGCCAAAAAGAATTTTCTATGGTGAGCTGGAAAAAAAGAAGAAGGAAACTCTTTCAAGACGGACAGAAGAAACTTTTCAAGGACAACCTCAAGACCCCACTGAACGATTTCTGTATTGATCCTAAAACCTGTAAATCGCTGTATGCGATTACTTATACTAGTGCTCCTCGTTTAATCGAGGAGCTATGGCCCACGAAGCTGTTACAACTGCAGCAGCAATTCAAAAAAGAAAAGACAGGAAAGATATTGAAGCAAATAACCAGACAGATGCGGTTTCTATTCCCTGCCTACTAGGGCTGTACCGAATAGTGATTTTCACTATTCAGCCGAACACGAATAGCTGGACCAACTATTCGGTCGAATACGAATGCGAATACGAATAGTGAATCATCATCATCAGGTGCTATGCCAACTGGCATGGGCGATTATGTGCGTGTGCTGACACACCTCTATGCCATGCAACAAGACTGTCAAGAATCTTCTCTCGTTGTCTTCCTCTATCCCTCCTTCCACATATCCCTCCAGTGGTCACCACACGTTCCATTTTCCCTTATCTTATAACATGGCCGAAAAATGATTACTGTCTCCTTCTGATGTCTGTGAGTAGTTGTCTTCGGGCTCCCGCCTCTATCAAAACCTCTTGGTTGCTTTTTTTCCTTTTTTGTGTGTGTGGCTGTCCAAGGTATTTTAAACATTGTTCTGTAAAACCACATCTCTGAGGCCTCAAGAAATTGTTTGGCATGCCTCCCGACTGTCCAGGACTTAACAACTGTATGTTAAAACTGGATGTATGTAGCAAGCAAGAATTATGTTTCTAACCTTCAATGGCAAAGGTATATTGCATAAGATGTTCCTTATTTTATAAAAAGCAGTTTGTGTCTGTCCTATTTTGTTTCTTATTTCAGTAATGCATCTTCCATCTGGTGTTATCCATGTGCACAGATACTTACATTTCTGTAGTTGTTCTAAAATAAAATCATTTACTTTTATTACACATTTAGGAATAATTATTTTGTTTGATACCACCATTACTTCTGTCTTCCCCCACTATTCAAACTGAGGCCCATCCTTCCACTTTCGTGTATTCACAATATGTAGTACAGAATAGTAAACATTTAAAAACATTTCATGTTTTGCATTCTTTAGTCAGTCAGTCTGTGGTAACTAATACTTAGGAATGAAAGTATTCTTAGTTTTATAACAAGTAACTAAACTTGTAAATTGTCACTGACAGCTTAGTTAATCCATAAAAGCGGCATTAGCTAAAATCGTTCCTTGTTGTCAGCATTAAGGCAGCTTCTTGTCTCACTGAAGATATTTCTAGCTGTACTAAACAAACGTTCACTTGGTACGCTAGTAGGTGGTGCACAAAGATAACGCTTGACAGTATGAACCAAGGTGGAAAATCTTGATATGTTTATTTTCCACCACTCCAGAAATGGGTGTAAGGTAACCACTATTCGCATTCGGCCCGACCGCAACTATTCGGCCGAATACCGAATAGTTATTAGGTCAACTATTCAGCCCCGAAGCGAATACGAAGCAAATATTCGGTACAGCCCTACTGTCTACATTGCTCAAGAACTCTCAGTGCTAGAATTGGCCTTGCCAGTCATCTGCTCACTCGCAAAATCGAATCCAGTCCCCAGTGGATGAAAGGAGGACTGGTGTGATGGACGAACAACAACTTCTGATTTGCAAGTAGGCTGAACTACAGCATAGCAAAATTATGTTTGTCTAAAAGGTTTGTCACAAACATGAGAAGTTCGCAAATCACTTAATTCTACTAGGTCAAAGTTACACAATGTGGCACTGTCAAGTAGGTCAACTTGGAATATTAACAATATCATTCAGCTGAACGATTAAACGTGTATGAAATAGTTAGTGTTCATTTACATTTGGGTTCAGTATGTGTAACTTAGACAAAAACCAGTGCGCTGTAGTTGTCTGTTGTAACTCTTTCAGTCCTAAACAACTCACCGTCGATTTATGCTTATATGCTTCTATTTTTTCGACTTCTGATGCGCCAGCCGGTTATTATATCAACTCAATCTGTACCTGCGGTTACTTTAACCTTTTTTGTCATGTGGTGTTTATTTTTTAATTACTTCAGGCAGAAATATGTACTAAAGTAAGAATTTTTGAAGACATCATGAATTAAAATAACATTTGCCTGGGACTGAAAGAGTTTATGTGGGTACCAGGTAAAAGTCCTGGCAAGTAAAGGCGGCCGGCGTGATTTTGACCTTATCACCCACCTAGCCCCTGTTTGTCTTTAAAATAAAGGTCTAGTGGTAGTTATCATGAACTTGCCCGCACGGCGAGAGTTCCTTCCCCTCCCATTCAGCAGCGGGCCCCACGGCCTGTCTTATATTGTATGGGTATCATGTATTCCTTATTTTCAAATGTTTAACTATGCTTTCTTTTCTCGTGTTGTCACAGCTCACTTGCGCTAATATTTCCACGTTCTTCTGCTTGCCCAGCGGTTCATGAGTATCGAAACTGTGCTGTTTTTATTTTTTATTTTTTATTTCTGCGTGCTTATCAGCGGGTTCTTTTTTTTTTCTGGGTGGAAGCCACCGCCATGGAATGTAGAAATACAAAATAATCACTGTTTCGATACTGGCGAACAGTCGCGCCTTCGGTCCTTCATTCTGCAGTACTTTATACGTGTACACAGGTGCCTGTTGCGCCTTAAAGAGACTGACGACAACAAAACCTCCCACAAACATTATTATATACGGTGAGCGAACGCCGAACGAAGCCATCTTATAACACCCCCACAACATAGGACAGGCCGTGCGACCAGCAGCAGCATGAATGGGAGGGGAAGGAACTCTCGCCTTGCGGGCAAGTTCGTGAGACGTTCTGGTCCAGCCTGTGTGCTCGATACGTCTGAATGTGTGGAAAAGGGTCTTTTACATTATAGTTTTCTTCGGGCTTATCGTATTCAAACTCCAGGTTATGCGTTCTTAAACTATCAACCTTGACATTATGCATAAGTTCAGAAAGTGTAATTACTGTTATGCAGTTGCATTTTGTCAACACATGGGTGTCGTACCTGCGTTCAGTTTAACTATAACTTCACAGTTACTGGCTTTAACAGACTGAGCTTCGGAAGCATTAGGCTTGTCTGCAAGACGCCGTTAATTATTATAATATTCAACATGTCTACAAAGGCTCAGTTAGTTTGGTCACACCTGGAGAATGGAGGATGGCAGCGTCCCTAATGACATCCTCTATGGTGAATTTGTTATAGGTAGAAGATGTCGAGGCCGACATCTACTGCGATATAAAGATGCGTGCAAGCGGGACATGAATGATACAGGTACTTAGGTGGACTCGTGGGAACAGAATGCCATAGACCGTGATGTGTGTAGGGGGCACAGGAGGAAGGTAGTGAACATGGAGGAAGAAGTCTATCTTTTATTTTTACCCTACCAGGGCACCACACAAGCGATAAACACCTGATGATACAAAGTGCCACCATGTGGATGAGGATCACCCATGGAGAGATCCCAGAAACCGCGTTCAGCCCTTAGACCATATTTATGGCCGGGCTATATTGCGGCCCCTAGGCAAGAGCCAGAGTAGGGCTTCAAATAACGAAAAATTGCATCCCTCAAAGGGATGACAAGATTACACAAGGAAGAAGTTTCTGCAGAAAGCATTGGAGTTGAGCGTCTGTGGAGAAACACACTAAGCACAAATGTTGACAACAATGGTGCTGAAATGCAATACTATAATTGTGGAAGACTTTTCTTAGCACGAGCGGGTCTTGCGTCACACTCGCCATCGCCATGGGCTGTGAGGCCCATGCCACCTCATAGCGCAATATAACCCTGTCACCTAAAAGGTGTCAATCAATCAAATACACTAGGTCAAACGGAAATAATTAATGTTCATCTACAGATGTAATTAACAGCCACGGATTACGGCAGGTCTAACAAACGTAGTTATGATACTTTTTCTTCGCGTTCACCGGCTGTAAACTCCGGCGGAAATTTCTAGTTGTTCGTTCAATTCTGGATTGCACTCCTGTTCCAGAACCTGAGTGTTGCGTGTGCATCCGTTTGACAGATCTGACTAATTTATATGCAGACTGTTGGTTCCTTGCCTCTCTGGTAGATGCACTCCG